AGATCAGACCTCTGATGAAATCATGTCAATTTCGATTTTTCTAATAAAAATTGACTTTTTTGCGGGCATGGAGCTTAATTAACGAAAAAAGACGTGTAAAATGATATTGAATTATGATCATACAAACACAACTCATGTCAAACTAAGAATTATTGAAAGTTATGAAAACAGGCTAATAGCAGACAGTTAACACAAAATATATCAAACTATTCTGTTTATCTGTTTAAATCACTCTAGACGATTGAAGTCTACTACAAAACTGTCTCATTATGATATCAAGGAAAAACTGAAGAAAAATTGTGAATAAAAAAAAATGCTTGTTACTTTTGAAACATTAAAAGTTGGCATCGTTGATATAAATGCCTCATAATCTTCTCTGTACTCATCGACCCTCACACCCAACAGTTCAAGAGAGACTATTTAGTTAATATTGAACGTTGTTTTCATATTGATTTAGATACTCTTGTGAATAAGTTTTGTATCGCAAAACAATATTTTGAAAATGAATAAACTGACCAATGTAAGACTTCAACTGAAATGTTTTTTATAATTACCTGTTTACAAAAAAAAATTTTTGCTTCCTCTAGAAAGTTTAATTTGTGCCGCCTATATGATTATTGAAATTCATCAAGATTTTGAAATCATAATAACTAAGAAAAAAGATAAATTTCTACAAAATAAATGAAGTAGATTAATGCGTTGCTATTAATTTAATACAAAAGAACAAAATCAATTTTGTCTTCAAGTTCAAGATGATAACGATAGAAAATATTTGTTTCTTTAACTTTGAATAGAATATCAAATGTTAATACTTAAGTTTGAATCTTTAAATTGATTTCAACAAGCATATCATCGGTACAATTTATGAACTGATGCTCTTAGGAATATTCGAATTTTCTTTAAAATACTGTCATTCTGAATACATTGAAAAACGTAGAAATTAGTTTTTGAATAATATTCAGTTCAATAGTTAGGTGTACATATTTATTTATATTAGTTGAATATTTCTTCTAGCCATTGGAAAGTTCCTTGAAAAGAAAGGAGGTCGACATGATAATGTAATGTAGTGACTCTTTCAGTATATAGGGGATCATCCATAAAGAACATTCAGGTAAAGAGTTAGGAAAATCAGTCAAAACTCGACAGATCTGGACAAATGAGAAGTGGTCAAATATGTCTGGACATTCAGACATTTGTTATGAATATCTTTCTTTTTTCTACAATTTTTTCCGCAGAATTTTGAGGCCTACTTTATTTTGAAGAGCACTTTTTAATATATTCATTTATTTATTTAATGAATTGCTATTTAATAAAAAGGATGTGGTATATTTGAGCAAGCAGGCTTGTTTTTAGAAGACTGTATTTTACTACTCTACACGTTCAAGAAGAGGGAATGGAGGTCAAAAACTACGGTTTTATGATACACGATGTGGAAGGAGTGTCAAAGTATAGAAATAGAACTTAGGACTCCCATCATAAACCTTGACGGATATTGTATATATATCAATAAAGTCTCGTTCTAATATATCCACTAGTTTCTTATTGCTTTTCTGATGGATTAAATAAAAGGATGGTGAAAAAATATGCCCAAAAAATAGATAGAATACAACAAGTTTCTTGTGTATAACAAGAGTGACTACAACATGTTTCGCATTTTAATGCCACAATAGTTTCGCTAGCGGTTTGTTAGCTGAATGTCTTTAATAGATGATCCCCAACTATTTTCTTCTATATGAGATTGATTCATTTAACGACAGTAAGGAAGGGAAAATATCCAATTGCGCGTTTTCTCCTATTCTTTCATCATGGGTCGGTTTCCTTCCATTTCTCTCGTGTTTTTTTTCTTATTCTCTCACATAGTTCTCCTTTCAGATTGTTAACATAGAATCATTTCTACTAATAACCTACCAAAAAGAAAAAAATGTCGTCTTCATCTACTCACTATATACAAGATTCAGATGGGAAATTAGCTACTGAATCGGCACCGCCAGGTATGAATTCAATAACAAATACAGTTGGTATGCATCCAAGCACAAATCAAACATTACCACCGATTAATCCATCAAATATAGGGCATAGTAGTTGTGATCAACATGGTTGCACTGCTGAACACAGTGGAAAACCACATGCATAAGAAAAAATAAAATAAAACTATTATTTTAAAAAGTTGTAACTTGGCATGAGATGAACATGCGCTATGAACTCCTATTATATAAATTATTAGAATTTATCATTGATATAAAAGGTTTTTGATCTTGATATTAATGATGAGAATAGGTTTTATACAAAAATATTCACATTGTAGTGTAGCAGAGTGAAATATTAGGTAGAGAAATATTTTGTGAATCGAATGAACTTTTGACGTCTGTGTGTATGATATTTTTATTAAAACTAATCATTTTTTTGTATGCAATTTTTTTTCTTTCGAATATTTGTTAAACATTCGAATTCTTACTGTTTATTTTCTGTAATAATAGTTTGTAAAACACCAGATATGTATCTAAATGTAAAGAAAAAATGTATCATCTATTTAATATTGAAATAATATACGTTCGATTTTTAAACTAAATATTATTGTTATACAGTGCGTCTCAATTGAATTTCTCTAGTTTGTTTTTCTTGCTTCAGATTACTGCAGTTTGATTTTTTATCATTTTTAATTAATGATATATAGCAAGATATTATTAATCTCTGTATTTAAATAAATATTTCGACCATAATTGAAGTAATATTTGTTCAGAAGTACAAAAATAAAGGAAAGACAAAAACTTAATGTAACTCTTATTGTACATTGCAGTAATAAAAAACGTCGTCATTTTTTTTTTCTAATGTATTTTTTGTTTTCTGAACTTTGAATATTATTTATGAGTAATATATTAAGTGATGCAACGAAGCCTATACTTCCTCCCTATATATCAATTATCAAAACAAAAGCAAACTGCAATAGCCTGAAGCAAAAACAAAATAAAGAGAGGAAATTCAATTAAGACACAAAATCTAATTAATATTTATAATAGGAAATTCATAGAAAACAATGAGTTCTTGATTATATTGAATTAAGAGATCTATTGTAGTTCATCATAGAGATCTAAACATAGTTTTCAGATACTAGTATGAAAAGAAAAGTAATAACACCTATTATTTTCGAAAATCATACGGATCGTTGTCGAGCTACAAAATTCAGTTTTCAACCCTATTGTGATGATTGAATCATCTGAATCTAGATATATTATTTTATGGAATTAGTTGTTTTACTATTTCTTTGATTATTTTAAAAAGCATTCTTTGTGAACCAAAACGAAGATTGGTACTTGTATTGTAGTTTATGTGTATTCTTAATAATACCTTTACGTTTTGTACGAAATACAAACACAATAGCGTCTATTTGATTATCATCTTCCATTGTACACAATGACGAGCACGAATATTTTACATTGCTAACAAAATGGCATAAAAATGCTCTAAATTACCAGTAACAATAAGTATAAATATTTGTTTTATTTGAACACACTTGTCCATTGAATAAAGCTCGTATTATAACAGTGTATACACAAGCATTTTGTAACCATCGATGAGTCAATTAGATATGTTCTTATTTAAAATGATGTAAGAATCATAATAGAAATACTTGAATTTTATCATAACTAGTCGTTCTACCTTTGCAATGAACATACTAATTTCACGATACTCTGCTACTAGTATGCCACAGAATCTTTTGGATTTTTCAGTAGCTTCGGATGTGTTTGGACTTTTTTAGTTCTTGATTTCGAAATACTTGTAAGTTGTCAATCAACTAACTTATTCAAAACAATTTTTGCGGAATACTCTGAAAGCCAGACAAGTAATCGAACGAACTCTTTGAAGTACATATGTACTAAGACTATTCTCAATGGAATATTCGACCGAGATACTGTTACGTACTGTTATTTAAGTACTTTTTTGTTTGTTCTATTGATTATTGCCCCAATATCATGACTGCATTGAAATCAGCTCATTCAATAAGGAACATGAACTGATGGATTCATAATAGTCTTAGCCTGATCTTTTTAATGACTTGAAAAAAAAACAACGTCATAAAGTCTAAAAATTTTAATAGTTAAAAAAAAAATTCAAACTATTAAGAAAGAAAATAGTACTTGATAAATTATAGCAATCGAAAAGTGGCAAATTTCCCGTGGGATTATATTCAGTAAACTCGAATAGTATTCATTCATAGAATTAATCGATCTAGTTCAATCAATATTAAATGGATTCGAATATGATGACCATGATGTTTATGACATGTGCAAGGACATTATTAAATACCCAATAAAATCGTTCTTCCTTCCATATTTTAATCAATTTTTAAAAGTTATCGAATGTTGATACGATCATATTACATTATTGCGAAGAAGATTTTGAATCAAGTAAATTATATTCTCGCTTGCATATTGAATTAAAAAAAAACTTCTTTTCTTTTCTATTAGAATATTAACTCAGATAATATCTACAAGACATATGATTTGTAAATTAAGCTAGGTCATAAAATAAAAACATCTTGACAAATTTTATCCATTATAAATAGTAATATATTCTGTAACAATAGTTAGTAATTTGTATTACTTTCACATCTCTTCTGACTTCAAGTATCGTTCAATGTTAGAATTAATTAAATCCTATCATCGTTAATAATATTCGAGAACTTCCAGTTCGAATTCAATTAGCTTTACCGAGTAATACTTATCCTAGAGTTCGATCTATTCTGTCAATGTTATCAAAATATTTGTTGAGTATGAAAACTGACGCCTAGATTTAATATATATATTGTCAAGATTTAAAACATTTGACTTACAATGACTCAGTCATTTGAGAAATTCAGTCAATATTAGTCTGTTTTCTTTGTTTAATACTATCATCAGCATGATTCAAGTATAAAGTATGATGTTATCAGAAGAAATTTGATCAGTTACCTACAATTAATATAATCGTCAAATCAAAATTACTTCTTTTCAGAACACAAAATGGAACAGAAAAACAATAATCATTCATGTTTTGGTTGGATTCAATTATTCATATCAATTTCTATTCCTATCGCTATTGGTGTTTATACTGTATTAGAAAGTAACCGTGATTTTGCAATAGCAAATCATAATCGTAAACAAGACCTTGATATAGCCGATGATCAACAGAAAGATCAAATTCTTCATGAATGTCAAAAGACATTAAGTAAATTAATTGAAAAATATGGTACAGAACTTAATAAAAGTTCATCTGCTTCACTTATCGCTCGTTTTGCCACTCTTTCAGCATTAAATCGTCTAGATTCTGCTCGACGAAATTTTCTCGTTCGTTTATTATATGAAGCTAAATTAATCACCTATCGATCAGACGATTATCGACCACCAGTTTCACTTGAATACGCTAATTTAACTGATTTAAAATTAATTGATGAATCTGAACGAAGAGTATTATTTCATCTTTCATTGGAAAGTACTATTATGATACGAGCTAATTTTCATGAAATTAATATCCGCGGTGCAAGATTTAATGGTGCTGTACTTATTAATGCTGATTTTTCTTGGACTCGAAATGCTCCAACATTTGATGATGAGATGAGTACTCTTAGACATAATTCTCCAAAATTGTTTTTCAATAATGCAAATTTAACATCTGCTTCATTGTTTTCTGCTACATATGAAAATGTTGATTTCATTGGTGTGATAATGAATCATGCTAATTTACATACATTTTTCTGTCTCAATTGTTTATTTGATTCTACTACTATGATTGAAGTAAATTTAGAAAATGCAGCTATTGAAAACTCTTCATTTATGTTTGCAAAACTTGATTATGCTAATTTATATCGATCAAAGTTTGGTCTAAATGTTGATTTCTATCAGACGGCTATGAATCATGTTAATGGTACTTATACTAATTTTACGAAATGTGCATTAATTGAAACTAAATTAATGAATTCAATATTTGATCATGCTGTGTTTATTGATACTACCTTTTCAAATGCATATATGCATAAAGCATCAATGAAATATAGTAGAGTAATCAATGGAAATTTTACGGGTGCAGATTTAAGTCATAGTGACTGGCGATACGCTAATTGTAAACAATGCATATTTAATCACGCAAATTTGACAAATGCTGATTTGTTTGGTGCAACATTTACTGAGAGTGATTTTCGGAATTCTAAGATTGTGGAAAAACAATTATTACAAATCGCCTCTCTAGAAAGATCAAAGCTCCCTATATGAAATGCATTTAATTAGAAATGGAATTTTTGTAACATATAGATATTTGTTTTTATATTGTAAATAATTTTTCACGAATAATAATTTTCAAGCTTTTTTTTTCATTTATAAGTACTTAATGATGATCATAATCTGTTGGTTACACTTAAGGTAACGTTCGTTTTCCTAAATCTGTGATCCAACTCAGTTTACTATGTCATATGGGATCTAGAAAAATTATAATTCAAACTATGTTTACATTCTACTGAAATTTACATCCAGTGGAATCAGAAAGCAATGATCCATTTATTGTTCTTTTTTGACATATTGTGGTGTCAGCTAATAATTCCGCATTTTCTGCAATGCATTGAATGATCTATCAAGGTAAAAATATTTTAAATCATTAGAAATCTAAAGAACTGGCAAATCATTCTAAAATTTCTCTTTCATATTGTATTAATGTCGGGCTTTTATTAAAATGTTCTCCATTGTTTTCGAATAACTTTTTATTATTTCAATTTATGCAGCTTGAGTTGTGATCATTCGAAAGAACAATCTTGGAAATATCGGTTCATATGAAATTCCTTACGTTCAAAAACCTTCCAGATGATTATTTTCAAACTGATTTCGTTGCTTTTGTTGTCTATCTTCATGAGTTTTGATGGACTTAGCATCAAATTATGCTGCATTGCAGCCCAAACAAGGGGGAAACATGATACTTTTGTACTTTGAAGTACCTTAAAGTACGATAAAGTACCTTACAGTATCTTAAAGTACGGATGTTAAGGATCGATAGTGAAACTTGAGTTTTTGAGTATGGAAAGGGTTTTTTGGAAAAATGACGATTTTTTTATAAAGGTTGATAAAACTAAATCGGGGGCGGAGAATCAGAATCTGAAATCAGAATTTCAAAACTTGGAGTTTCACGTTTTTTCATAAAAATTGGTTTTTTACATAAGTTCAATTTTTATCAATAAATCTCTTTTTGCATAAAAACCTGTTTTTTTTTTTGAAAAAAAACATTTCTTGACAAAAAATGTAATTTTTTTAGGTAAAAAGAGATTTATTGATAAAAATTGAACTTCTATAAAAAGAATTGATTTTTTTTGAAAAAACACTTATGAAAAAACGTGAAACTCAAAATTTTGAAATTTGAATTTCTGATTCGGATTCCCCGACCCCGATTTACTATCGTCAACCTTTATAAAAATCGTTATTTTCCAAAAAACCACTTACTCATAAAATCAAGTTCCATTATTGATCCTTAACATACGTACTTTAACGTTGATTTTTTAAAGTTACAGTTTTGAAGTGTATTACTTTAACTTTAAACTTTAAAGTTTAAAGTAACACTTCAAATTGAACTTTTAAAGTAGAGTTAAAGTGACAGCCCTGATACAGATCGAACTGCTCGATATGGTCCATAGTGTGTTCTTCGGTCAAGCGTTGATGTTTCTATACTCTTATAGTACAGAATTGTTAGTGCATTCATCCGATTGAAATATTCAGTTATTTTTGTAAACTAGTACTTTGATTTAGGCGAAATAACTTATCGTTACGCTCTCGAGCAACTGGTTATTGAAAATCCATCTCCATTATTTCTCGGTACGTGAAGGATATTTCAAGGATACAACCTACATCCACAAAGTTTGACCATATGTATCTGGAGTCGAGGAATTCGAATCTGCAATCAGATTCTCGAAACTCCGTAGTTGATTTTTTTCAGCAAGGAAAGGTTTTTCTGAGAAAATAACGATTTTTTACAAAGTTTGACCAAAGATATTCGGTGCCGAGGAATTCAAATCTGTAATCAGTTTCTCAAAATTGTGTACGTGATTTTTTCAACCGGGAAACGATATTTCGAGGAAATAACGATTTCTTATGTAACTTGACCAAAGATAGCCGGGATCGAGGAATCCGAATCTGTAATCGGTTTCTAAAAACTTATCATCCTGATTGCTTGATACAGGATCGTTATTTTGAGGAAATAATGATTTGTGGAACACGTATATCTCCGAAGAAAATAACAGTAAGTGTAAGTTTTAATCGGGGTTCTTGCGACTTCCTCCTGCTAGGTCTGAGCAACCAGAAGAGGGAAAACCAAAGATTATTGGATACGTTTTCCTAGCGATGGGGAAAGACATGCAAGTAATATCAGTGCGTAGATCGTTCTGGGACTCTGTTAATTCTAGCTAGTCTAAATATTGCGTGTTTTCGTTCTGAATGTAGAAAAACGATCTTATTCTAGGTGCCAATAAATAGGGCGGTCGTATTCTCGATCTAGCACTATCAGAAGAGGACGGAGATAGACACGTATGAACCAATTGAATTCTAGGCTTAGGCAAAACTCAATACTTGATGTCGAACTTCGTCGTGAGAAAAGATGTTGCGCACGATAAATTACTGAACGGTTAAATCAATGTGTATAGCAGGCAAATACGGTTGTTGAAAAGACAAAACGAAGAGTAAAATGGTATTTTCCACTTCCTATGACCTGCGTCGCATACATATTATCATTAGGAGAGAAGAAGGTGTGTTGAAGATGTATCTGGCAATAAAAATGAATTTTAACAATATCACGATGTTACATGAATCAAATAAATTTGTAGAAAAGTAATTCTAAACGCAAACATTTTTAAAAGGTAAAAATATCATATCGTACCTATCAGCTATAAAAATTGTTATAATTTTGATTTATTCATTGATTTGACATTTTTTTAAAATAAATTATTTTAAATCCTACGCAAATATACCATAAAATTAAAACAGTCAGAGCTTGTGAATTTCACACTTTGCCCCTTCATAGGAGGGTCACACAGAGAAGCTATTTGTGAAGTTTGATTAAAATCTTTCGAAGTCCGGGAAATCAAATTTGTGATCAGTTTTTCACAATTGTGACCTTGATTTTTCCGCTACAGATAAGCTGCTTTGAAAAAGTAACGAGTTGATTTCAAGTTTGAACAATTGTCTTCAGAGTAGTGGTAACTAGGTCGAGAAATCGAGCACACAATTTCGAGAAACTGTTCACAGATTCGAATTCATCAACTCTGAAAGCCTTCGGTGAAACTTTATAAAAAAAATTGTTATTTCCTTGAAATGCCCTTCACATATCGAGAAATTATGATCACGAATTTTCAATTACCAGCTATTCGATAACGTAATGGTAACTTCCCTCGCCTAGATCAAAGTACTACTTGACAAGGATGTGGATGTGTGGGTGTGGATGTGCGTGTGATGAGATGATCTATGCCCACACCCACACCCAAGAAGGTAAGAAATAGGTTTCACTAAAATAATGTCAAGGAAAGTAATTTTTTCTATAGGTTAAACAAACCAAAACAAGTACTGGCATATATATAAAATATCGACTAAATCTGCTTGATTCTTCAAGAACATGTTCTTCATTGTTTTTAATTATTTACTGTCAATGTTAAGCAAAGAATCGTTTAACAATTCTTTTATGTAAAATGTATTTTGTTTTCGTGCTTTTCAAAATTTTTAAGAAGAATATTTACGCGAGTTTTATTTGAAATAAAATAATATTTCTTTAATCATGAAACAGAATCATCAATAAATAGATTTACGCCATACCTCTTGAAAAATCTGTATGATGATACAATATAGACTGTTCCAAAAGTCTATCGAAATAAAAATAATCATGAAGAGCTCTTGAACAGTTCAAGCAATTTGCATGAATTTTCTATAGTTTCGTTCGAAGTTTCTTCAAGTTTTATTCAATACAGTTCGGATCAAATGCCTATGCTTATAAGAATATGAATCAAAACAGTTTTATTGACGGTCGAATTAGAGTCACCTAGAATTGTAAAACAAACCATGGTAATTGAATTGAATGCAGAAGTGGATTCTACAGTAGTAATAGCAATGGATGACGCAAATGCATTATAAAGTAATTATAAAAAAAATGAATTATAAAACAATTCAGTTCTTAATAATTTGTATCAATAGTATCTGTAGAATGTACTATGGTCTGCCAGGATGTGTATGTACTTCGGGTTGGGCTGAGTCTGTGATTACATTCACATCCCTGTTAATAGTGGTATATTCTGGTAGACCTCAGTAAATTCTGTAAATAACTCTCCTCAACAACATATAGAAATTTTCAATTATTTTGTGGGCGTGGGTCTCTTCGTCACCCACACGGCATCCATACCCTATTCTGGTGGGAAGGGAGGAAGGAGTGTGTTCTTCATTGCTGTTGTATAAAGTTTCTTGCATACTGATTGATTCATTACTTCTCAAAGAAATAAACTTTGATAATCGATTTTTTTCAACGGTACAATTGTCCACGTGAAGACAATGCCCTTCATTTGAACTTATTTTCATACATAAAAAGTATTTTATTATAAGCATGAACAGCAGATATATTTTATAAGTGTTGCAAGACGTTAGAAAATTCATCGGATATGGCAAAAGCATCTGAATATGCAATATCAGCAAATATATGAGAGAACTTCATATATGTTCAACTTAAAATTTTCAAACACACATTGAATCTGTCTTGATGAGGGTGGTGAGGAAAAATCTGTAAAGATTTATAATGAGTTTGCGAATGAAGTGAAGTTAGTTAAGTTCGAGAGAGTAAAAGGTGTGGTTGTGGATGTTACTTTTCTAGTCTCTCACACCCACACCCACACCCACACCCACACACACAGATCCAGGCTCCACATCCCATACCGACACCCACTTTTACTACACATCGCTACAACGTGTATATCACTGCCTTTGCTAGAAAGATTTCTTCCTCGCTTCCGTCTATGATGAACAGTTACTCAATGATGTGTGCTAATATCTACTGGAAAAAAGAGTTCATGACGCAAATGAATTACAAAATAATTCAAAATTTCTATATTACATATTTATAGGAATATATGCATATAATTATTATAAATTTATTCTCATATACCAGAGTCTAGCAGAATCTCCAGGATATACCAGGGTCAACTAGGGTTTTGTGGTACTCACATCGAGAGAGACGTGATGTAAGTTGCTTCATGGCAACCACA